ATTCCTTAGCACGAGCCGCACTTGATGGGCCAGTTTTGTCCATACTGCCAGATGTAGAATATATCACGGCTATAAGATATCGAAAATCAGCAATCTCCACTGATACGATAGAAAAAGTAATTACATGGACAGACTATACCCACCTCATGTTTCCATGGCAACCCCACTGGAGTCAGTCCAGAAAGCTCGAAATCTTAATTACTAAATTTCGATGTCGTGTCCCCCCCCCCTAAACCTGTATCTACACAGAGCTGGTCAGACAACATCACCCCTCTGCGCATTCTGCGGAGAAATGGAATCACTAGATCATTATTTTTTGTATTGTCGCCGCTACGAGATACTTAGAAAAAGGTTACTAGTTATGCTATTTCGGAAAATAGGCCTTAGATTGACGGCGGAAACGGCGCTAAGCTTTGGCGCCTCAGCTTTGGGACATTGCCACAGGGATGCTTTCAATGCCGTTTGCGATTATATTCAGGCAACCAAGCGTATACCTTTGTGATCTTCAATCAAAAAAAAAAATATTACTCTCAAGGGCAGAGTGAAGTAAACGCAGCTGAGTGGTAAACATAACACCTCAAATCTCAAAATTGCTCAACTTGATTTTTTTTTTCGTTTGCTCTTTTTTGTTGTTTTTATTTTTACATTAGTCTTATTATAATACCAATTCATTGCACATAGTTAAAATGATCATAGAAAAACTGCACTACACTTTCTTGGCCAATCCCCCTGAGTGGGTATGAGCCAAACCTTCCAGGGAAACAAAACAAAACAAATGTTGAGTCCGTTCGACGGGAGCTGGCTACTTGCGGATACCCGCTTTCCTTCATGAACTCGGTGCAGCGACAACTGCAGCGTCCGGCTCAGTCACACACCATTGCTTCAAGAAAACGCGCATCGGTGCCTTACGTCCCAGGCTTCAGCGAGACCCTCGCTCGGGTATTGCGCGGCTACGGCGTCCAAGTGGCTCACGTTCCGACACGAAAGCTCCGAGGCCGTCTTACAAATGTCGAAGATAAGTTGGACAGACATGATTTTCCCGGCGTGGTGTATAAAATTCCTTGCAAAGACTGTGAATACGGATACATTGGCGAAACGGGCAATTACAAAAAAAAAAAGAGGGCTCCGGGAACATTTTAATGACGTCAAGAACAAGAAAGTAGCTTCTAACGCCCTCGCAGAACATGTTGCGTCTACTGGGCACGCTATTGACTGGGATAAAGCCTGCATCACTGCCACGGAAGGAAAGTTGTTACCATGATTGTACATGGAATCTCTGGCCATTCGAACTACTGCGCACACGTACAGAAATATTGGGACACTCCGCCCCGTGTACGAACGATGTCTGCAACACGTGATGAAACATGCATAAGTAGAGCGCACTACGCCATTCGCGGTCACTGTGAACAAGGCTTCCGTGTGGGGAGCCGAAACGTCTTTTTAAGTTTTGTGTATTTCACCTTGGTCGGCGTTTCTTGTTATTTTGCACTACATAAGGTTCTAGCGTTAAACGTTCCAGAGATTCTTAACACCCTCTCCTGCATTGCAGATCTGACCGCCGCCGTGGTCAGTTGCTTTGCAGCTGCTGTGGACTGAGGGCCTGGAGATACCACACGCCAGTTACGGCCCTCTTCAAGCGATGCAGCAGCCTCCCCCCCCCCCCCCCCCTCAAAACGAAGCAATGGATGCGATGCCGTGATGTCCAATTTCTGAGTGAAATTTTTCTTGCCACGGTCGACACAATCCTTGAAGAAAAACTTTGGAAAAGATTTGGTACAAACCTCCTTCAGATATGTGGACGAATATTCAATTTTTCTGCAGCTTTCCGTGAAAAATAGAAAAAAAACCGGCAGAACTATATGGGTGTGGGCTAGACTTCACCTGCGAAGTTCCGCAACAGAGATCGTTGAGGTTCTCAGTAATATTAATGTTTTCAAATCATGTTTGCTGGGAATACTAACCACGAAGTCTTAAACCCTTGTTAAACTATGCTTCCTGCCACACAAAATTGGTTAAGAGAGCAATTGCTCGGTCAAGTGTAAGTGCTAGCTTATCTAAGTCATGCCTACATAAGATGACTGACAGTGTAAGAACGCAGATTAACAGACTTCGTTCAGCGGGATTTCCAAAATCTGTCATTTCTTCAGTGTGCAAAACATTGCTGCAGACAATCAAACAAAAGCAAGAGAAGCCAGGAGAAACAAAAAAGCAAAAGAGTGGCTGTCATTCCAATACCTCCTCAATATATCTCATGGTTTGAAAAAAGTGGGCTCGAGATATGGTGTGGATGTGCTATTATCAGCCCCGTGCAAAGTAAGCCAGATTTGCAAATTGACAGGTGAATGCCTCTGTGGAATTACCATAAAGAGTTGGACATGCGCAATAAAACAGGTACAAAATAAATTTATAGAATGCGCAGTTGGTGTTGTCTACATGTTTCCTTTAACGTGTGGTCATTGTTATATAATTCAAACTGAACGATGCATAATAAAGGGTTGGGAGAGCACATGAACGATTTATGCAAAGGGATAAGTTAAAACCTTGTATTGCACTGTAAAAGTGAAGTAAAGGGTGACATTTTGATAAAGGAAGGATATAAAAAGCAGGATGGGAATATGTGGTGCGCAGTTTTTTTTTGGACACGCTCCGACAAGGGAATGTCTTATGCGTTTCACGAATGAAGAATGTATGAATATGGTTCTTTCCCTCGGCCGAGCAAACGAAGACAAGAGAGAGGCGGCAAGATTATTTCGCAGATGGCACCCAGGAATTAGTTCGACATCGGTGCAAAATTACGAAACCTTCAAGGAGACTGGCACGTTCAGAAAGCAGCGTCGGTGCACAAAAGGTGTTACCGAGTCTTTTAAAACAGACATTCTTGCTTACATGGCAGTGCATCCCCAGGCAAGCATGTGCGCCGCGAGTGCTGAGACCAGCGTTTCCAGCAGTAGGTTTTGGCGCGTACTCGAGAGCGGAGGACTTCACCCACACCATGTTGACCTGCATCACAGCTGGAAGACGGATTTACAAAGCCGTCTTGACTTCTGTAACTGGATACTCATACAGGAAGAAAGTAAACCCGGGGACTCGCTCTCTGGATTTCGTGCTGACCGGTTGTGCCCCCGCGATCTCCGTTGACAGTGCAGCTCTGGCCGACTGGCTCACCCTACGCCATCTCCTGCCGCCGACAAGCGCTCTCTCGGAGTGGTGCCTTGGACTCCCGCGATCGTGTCCATCTATCCTATCTTCTCCTTACTTCCGTATGTTGCTGTCCCTGCACCCCGCTCTCTCCTTCCGACTATCTCGCGTGAGCTACTGTTGAGGTGTCGCACTCTGATGCAGACAGTAACCAGGCTCACTTTTCTTTAATAATCACATAAAGGTAACCCTGGCTTCCTAGAGAACATTATCTGGTTTGATAAAGCTTGCTTCTCGCGCAATGCCCAAGTCAATGTTCACAATGATCATTACTGGAGCGCTACAAATCCACACTGGCTGTTGCAGTCACAACACCAGGTGCAGTGATCTTGCAGTGTTTGGTGCGGCATTAACGAAGGAAAAATTATTGGCCGGATTTTTTTCGATGGGACACTCACCGCAAAATGCTATATCAGCGAAATACTAAATGGCCCACTGAGTGACTTCACCTGCAACCTCCCTCTAGCACAGCTTGGGAATATCTGGTTCCAGCAAGACGGAGCTCCTCCACACAGCTGCACGTGGACTCGAATGTGGCTTGATCAAAAATTTCCTGAGAAATGAATCGGCTGTCTTCAACTTGTAGAGTGGCCCGCAAGATCCCTAGGTTTGACTCTGCTAGATGTCTTTCTATGGGGGATATATTAAAGACCACGTCTACGCCGAAGCGACAACGCCCGCAAGAGTGATGTCTAAAATAACAGATGTGTGTCGCTTTATAACTGCACGAATGCTACGAAACGCGAGAGAAAATGTGCTGACTCGATGTGGATTGTGTATAGGGGCTGATGGAGGGCTGTTAGAGCACGCTATGCAGCTGTCCACGACGTCTCAATAAAAGCAATTTGCCATTACGCTGATCCCTTTCCAACACTTCGCTTTCCTACATTACAAGAGTTAGCTATAAGAGCACAGAACAATTTTTTATTCATTCTGTTTATTTGTATGCACTGCACTCTAACAGAAGAGTACTAAACGTGAATTTTTAAATGGAGACGAAGTACGAGCAATAAACTTTTGAACCCACAGTCAATCGTGCCGTATTCCTTGTAAGTATCCAGTTGAGAAATCACACATAATCGATCCAGATATGACCGAAAAAAAAAAAAAACTTCTAGAATAACTACCCTTGAAGTTTTTATATCCTTCCTTTATCAAAAATGTCACCCTCTGCCCCACCATCAGGTTTATCTTTGGCTTGAAAAGAAAAAAAAAATGTCTGCAATGCGCTGAATGCTGCCTCAAGCCTCGTAGCGCAATGCACGTGGCAGCCACCTTTTCGTCGAAGTTTATTGTCTTTGTTTCTTTCACCCCCCCTTCCTTTTAATCGTACCATCCAACCATAGCTTAATGTCCATCGTAGTGACCAACAGCTTGTTCAAGCGACCTTTGTGCGTGAGAAGCCTTTGCTAATTCGTTCAACTTACATTTGAAGGCACTCAAAGAACCGTGCGTTGGGCGGCAATCACATGATATTTTTTTTTAATTTTGGCGTATTTAAACAAACCCCGAAAAAAAATTAACCAGCGTTGTTATCTTACCGTGACATGAAAATTTTTTTATTTCTGGATGAGAGCTGCAAGTCTTGTATGAATTTTTTTCTCTAGCCGGTAGTAAAAAGTTAATTGAGCAATCTTTATCAATTACCATGCTTAGAGGATAAAAAAATATTCTGACGTGCTGCATACAGCTGAGACCAATACTGCGCTAGCTGGAGATGCGTAGCACTCATATTAAATTTTTTTATTGCTTGGTACTTTTTAGCTGAAACACCCTGTATACAAATTAATACTCTTCTGGGGTAATCGACCATGGGAAAAATTTATTCATCAGGTGTAAAACTGGTACTTACAAGCGTGACAGTACAGTTGCTAGGAAGCTGCATGTAAACACTATCTGAAAACAGTGGCAGTTTCTGCAAACCTTCAACATGTTTTTCTATTGAAACTGAGCGCCGACATTATTCCTCAAAACATGAAGCTAAATAACGCGATAAAATATGAGCAACTACACAAAAGGAAATTTAACAGAACAGCTGCGGCGGTATTCTCGGGCGAGCGCATTCGAGATATTTTGCGACACTTTATACTAACTTAAGCATGCGCCCACAGGAAAAACAGGCTGCCAGCAGTTATCCCGATGCGTCCGATAGAAATTCCAATTGTGGAGGCGAAACAATCATATCTGTTAAAGGAATCGCTTGAGAATGCAACACGAAATGCAAGTACGCTGTTGTATACGTTTCAGAAGCGGGACATGCTTGCGAGGAATGCTGCAGAGTAATTGTGGCCACTTGGAATTTTTTTAACCTCCTGCACATGCATTGTCTTGCTCTTCACTTCTGTCGGAGTGCGGGTACCGTGACCGAGAATCGAACCATCTTCGAAGTAAGCAGCGTGACACAACAACAAACCTCATCAAAACGTGTACGCTGGAGCGCAGGCATGGCGTTGGCGATTCTATTTAAAAAGGTCATTTTTTAATTGTTTTACGAACATCATTGATGCTGCTTCCGTCATTTACTTTTTAAGTGTGAGACAAGCAAAAAGTGAATGCTGGCAGCGCAACAGCATTCGAAGCGAGCACGTGTTACGTATACGTGTGCCACAGCAGATTTGAAGAGTCCGTGCCGTGACGTCATTCTAGCCTCCCACCAGGCGGCGCCACTCCCACTTCTCAGGGCTAATGAGCGGTTATGTTATAAGGTGGTCTACACTGTACATGAGCCTCAGCTATTTTCGCTTCCATCGAAAATGCAGCCACCGCAGCCGGAATTCGATCCTGTGACCTTCGGGTTAGCAGTCGAGCACCTTGACCACTAGACCACCGTGGCGGGGCTTTTCAAGGTTTACAAGGAGTACCCTAGTATTCAAAAAGTTTCAAGGGGCTGTGCGAACCCAGAGTGTCTTTAGGCACGCTGAGACATTAGCCACACAAGCATCATTGAAATGTGGTTTCAGTACACTAACCAGTGGAAAAAGCACATGAGATATTCGCAGCAACTGTGTTCTTAACTTAGGTGAATGTACATCTTCAAGATTCTTTATTCTTCATAATAACTCTCCTCTAGTGCTTAACCCCCGAAGGTACAATGAAAAACAAATTTACAAAGCATACTTCTGCTGGCCTGCTATGTTTAGTATGTGTTACAAGCCACTTGCAAATGGCAGCAATGCCTGCAAATGTCGCAACAGCAGGTGATGGAACTTCCGTGACTTATACCTCATATGTTTAGTCCTAAGATGCCTGAGAATACTTCTGCATGCACATCCAAAAAAACTATTTCACCAGGAATTCAATAAGCAGGCTTGAAAGTTGCACATATTTGGAAGCATAACAAACAGAGTTGAAGGCATTCAATGTGCTGTATTAACCAGACCAATATGGCACTGCGTGACAAATGCCATGAGGTTGATCAAGCCATTCAAATTAGCTTTGTATCATAAGATGCATTGCAGAGGAAGTTTATAGACCTTATCCGCTGACCATTGCGTACATGGAAAGTTTGAAGCAATGCAACTCCAGACTTCACTAAAGTGCATTGCTATGGTACATTGTTAAAGCCAGCTAGTGTAACATAAACCAGACCCAAGTACAAGGAATGTTTTTTTTTTTGTTTAATTTTTTGCTTCATACTTGTTCCGCTGTCTGAAACAAAAGAGAGAGAGAGAGAGAGAGAGAGAGAGAGTAGGCTGGTGCCCATACCAACATAGGAACTACAATCACATGACACAAGGTAAAAAAAAAAAAAGAAGGGGGGGGGGAGCAGCGGAGATGGAATAATAGTACAAAAACTTAAATTAGAGCGCAAAAATAAACATGCCAGTAGCCCTGACCCAGAGCAGCGAGCAGTGAGCAACGACGACATTGCCAGACCACTGTCCCTTACTTCCAGACCAGTCGAGTTGTAAAACGCGAAATTCGAAAAAAAAAAAAAAAAACAGAGGGCAGTGTGGCTCTTTTTCACACAAGAAGACAGAAGGGCAACTGAACTAAAAATCACAGGTGACGCTGAGGCCCTTGCGAAAAGTACCCCGACCATTTTAGCTGGAAAAGCCTGATGAGCAAGAGTTCTAGTGGCTGCAAAAACAGCTGCACATGGGTGTGCTGTTCCTGCATGGTGCACACTGTGCAGAAGCAAGCACTGTGCGCACTGCTCACCATATGCAAGCTACACATTCACACACTTTAGGAAGGGTCTGAAGGCAAAACTAAGAGACTGGTTGTCCAAGCGGTGCCTGCAGTAGTGGCGGCCATCTTCTCTTGTATCTACTCTTGCTCGTCGCCAAGGTCATGTTTCACCTTGGAGAAGTCAAAGTCCTCACCCGTGCCACGGCGGAAAATGTCCAGGACATCGAGGCAGGTCGTCTCAAAGTGGGTTGTCGCATCGTATGACTGTGAGATAAAGATCTGAAAAAGACAACGAACACAATCACAGAGCAGGAAGACTTGCACATTCCAGCCAATAAGTCACAGTGTCACATCCAGGTTGGACGAGTACTTCCGGCATACTAGAGGCTTTTACAATGAAATGTAAAGATGAAACCTGTTGGCGTTCCCTCAATAAATGTAACAGACAATGAGTGCAGCTATCTATGAAACTAATCTCTTATGACTAATGTACCACTCTCTCCGCAGGCTCCGGCAGAAGATTAACATGTTTCCCGGCCCAGAGTTTCAATGTCTATATACCTCGGTAATATGAATCTCTCAGGTGTGACTGAAAAAAACTAAACTATGGACCATCTCCCCAAAGGGAACACCAATGGGATGTGAAGCAGCAGCGGTGCCTACGGAGTTGACCCGGTTTAAACGGGTTCTCAACGCGAGTGCTGGATTTGATTGATATGTGGGGTTTAATGTCCCAAAACCACTATATGATTATGAGAGACGCCGTAGTGGAGGGCTCCGTAAATTTCGACCACCTGGGGTTCTTTAACGTGCACCCAAATCTGAGTACACGGGCCTACAACCCGCCTCCATCGGAAATGCAGCCGCCGCAGCCGGGATTTGAACCCGCGACCTTCGGGTCAGCAGCCGAGTACTTTAGCCACTAGACCACTGCGGCGGGGCGACGCAAGTGCTGGAAGAACGGTTTGAAGCGAAACTCGGTGTAGCGTTTACTCGAGTAAACGTTTGTTTGAAATGCAAAGACACGAAAGGTGAGACACGTTGAAGACGCTTGCGCTCTGCTTCCTTGGCTTGCATCTCGTCGGTGTTACTCGCCCGCCGTCTGTATTCTTGAGCGCGATCTGCGTCCTCGACTCGCACCTCAATGGTGCCGCTGGTCTTTCAGTGCCAATGCTTGCGTTCAGCTTCCCGCGCTCAAACCTTGTCGGAGTTGACTTTGCTAAGTCTGGCAACAGCTAGAAAAGGTAAGCGCACACTAGCAGGAAGCATGCCACGACAGTGTTCCCTCCCCCGTCGGCGCTGAAAGATTCTCGAGGCGACCGCAGCGCGTGCATCCCGCGGCTTCTCGCCGACAGATGGAGAGAAGTGGCGCGGGTAAGACTATGCCCATGTGACAAGTGGGCTCGAGCGTTGAGAGCAGTGGACAGGGTGAAGCGAGCGAGATGACACGTGGTGAGCGGCAACAAGCTAGGGAGAGAGTGACGTCAACGTGCGCGAACTACGAGGGAAGGCGTGACGTACTTGGCACCACCCCTAACACCTGCAGCCAGCAGAGAGCGATGCGGATAAAAAGACAGCATTACACAGGCTAGTCAAAGAGCTGCTTCACATCTAATATTCATACCTGAAATTCGTATCAGAAAAATATGAAATACTAGCATGCGACAAAAGAAAGCTGGTGCATGTTTCCATTCATTGTTTCTCAGGGCCGCAGCAACCACCATATAAATTTTGCATGCTACTTGCTGTGTCAAGCCAATCAAACGCGAGTGGCGTCATAAGCATGGTGTAAAAATTAGTTAGGTGAGCACACTGGGCCTGGCGGTGCATCTAGATTGTGTTTGTTGCCTGGGCTGCTTCGGCTTGATGCAACAGATGGCGCTCACGGAGGGTGGGTCAAGGTGCTTGCTGGGGAGCAACTCCGATCTGCATGGAGGTTATTCCTGCGGCGCCTCGTTGTTTATTACGCTCAATATACACATGTACACAGAAGTCAATAAATTAATACACTGTGATTCTGCTGTAATGAAATTGATTTCCTAGTTTGGTACGTAGCTTATTTGCTAACAGTGTTTTTGTAATATAAATGCTCCGACAGCAGCAAGCGTTGGCCTGGAGAGCGGTCTTATTTTGATGCGACAGCACTAAAAAGAGTCTTTCGCTGAAATTCTAGTGTCGGTGTCGGCACCTTTAATTCGAAACAAAAAGCAGCATTGTATGTGAGTGAAAATTGCAGGTGTTTGCAATAAGGACACCAGCCTGTGTGCAAAGGCATGCCATAACTATTAGTAAAGCGATGGTCTGCATGCGTTTGGGCATGTATGTGAGTGCATGTGGGCCTGCGTGCCGACATCGCTGTTGCATTCTGTTTGTTTAGCAAAATGAACGAAAAACTTCGCCTTGACAACAAAATCGACATGCTTACCCTTGCCAGTCTTGCTGTTAGCGTCACCCAGATGACTCCACTTCGGCCTCTGGCAGTGTATGCTGCATGGTATTGTGGGAAGAACTTCACTGGGTCCTGAAGGTCGACCCTGGGTTAACCCGTACCACACCCATGTTGGTATTGTCGGGCCAGAGCCAGCAGCCATAGTCCGCGCTATTTTATTAAGTCACGCAAACAGGCACTTGATGAAGTGCTCCTCAGATTGAAAGTGAGCGCACTACCTAGAACAGTATATTTTGTGCAGCTCGTCCCTTACGCCGCTGACGCGGGATGCAGACATTCATATTTTACGTTCGCTGAGGCATCTAAGGCTTTCTAAGGCCTTCGCCTTGAAAATGGTGTTGTGTCGCAAGTACTGTGCTCGGAAATGCTCCTGCAATGTACCAAGACAGTGACGATGAAGTGCTAGAAATATCTAAAAACGAGAAAATCTGCCCTGATGGCATCAAGCATGCCAAACTAATTATATTCACATGAATATAATGAATGTATAAAAACACAGCTGCATCACAGAAATAGTAAGCACAATGATTTCTCTTCAACATTTAATTTTTCTTGTCCTAAAAGGCATAGATGAGGACGTTGAAGAAATGGCATCTGAATAAGAAACAAGAAATTACTTTTTCGACAGTGATGACAAAGCAACAGCAGCACATGGGCCCACACTATAAGCATCCTCCTCTTCACATGGAGGAGGCCTGTTGCGGCTGAAGTCGAATAGCTGCATGCGTGCCTGTTCATTCATCGTCGCCATGCTGTGGAGCCCCTGTCTCCACGCGCAATGAATTTGCCGTGCTTTCAGTAGTCATGCCAGGCACTTCAGATGACGAGTTGAACCTTTTGGCACCCATCGCTTTCGAGAAGTCTGCAGTAAAGCCAGTCGTTCTCGCAGAACTTTCCCGATTTATCACTGATCGGTCAGGTATTTTGGGCAGCCCCAGTGAAATGGCAGGCACAGCATCCCAAGTGAGTAGAGGTTTCTTTGGTGCATGCAACAAGTCGTTTCCTTTGTATTCTGCATGACATGTGGCAGAGATTGCTTCTCCCGGGAAATGGTTCGCGTTAGGCTTGTGCGAATATTCGAATGCTTCGAACGAATCGTTGGGTGTTCGAATTCACTTTCATTCGAATTTAATCTTTTCGAAGTATTTGCAATAAACGAATAGGTGTATATTAATCCGCATGCCACCGCCTGTAAAAGTGGTTTTACTGCAATGTAGAAATGCGAAACCGTGAAGCACCTATACAGGAGAAACTTGCTTTGCCGCAAAGCCCCCTTTAAATTTAAAGGTGCTTTGCAACACTTGGTGAATATGGTCAGAAAACGGTGCCGATCGGTAGTCAAGGCTACGGAGAATACGTGAGGCAAATAATATTATAGCGCAGCACGCAGCCTGTAATTCACAAAAAATTTTCAAAGCTAAAAATTGCTTTCTTCCCTTGGCAAATGACACTATAAGCTCGAAAATCACTTGTCACAGCCATTAACTGATTTGAGCATGGTGCGCTAGTCGTTACCAGGGCTGCCGCTTGTCCATGAGTACGTACGCGGTCACACTGAAAAGCCGCGTATCCGAAAAAAAAAAAAAAGAGGTGCTCAAGGTCACAGAGTGCGTGTGACGTATTTTATTTCACGGTGACATTCCACTCTGCTGAACTTCCAGCTATTTTGTCGGGACGAAAAGCGAGAATGCAATTGCAGCACGCAACAAATTTTTGAAACTCCGCTCGTACTGAATTTATTTTAGATACTTTGAGGCGGTAAGTTTGTGAGGCAATAAACATGTTTTCTGGCTCTGGGCTACTTGAAAAAGTGTTCATCCACATATGTTCTGTGCAGCCCTGTAGATTTCTCTCCCACTGCGTATCCAAACATACAAAAAGCTCAAGCCTCCTCCTTTTTGGTCACCACCCTGGTGATTAAGGCCCTCCCGCGCAAAAATAGTATGTGTAGGGAGGTATTTGTCATTTCGTAGGTGGGTCTCCATTATGCCGGCTATTTAGAACTCTATGAAATCTTGTCCTTTGTCCAAGATTTCATAGTTCCTACCATTTCTGTTCTCGTCTGCCCCCCCTGCATGTTCAGGTAATACAGTGACTTATCGTTCCCTTTGTTCCACCGTTGTCTTCTTTTTTTTGCTCGACTGTGGTTATCGACTCTGTGAGGATGAGATTCAAGTTCCCTCCTCATTAGTGTTCTCTTACCTTGTTTTCTTTCTAGTCCTTTCGATCCCCCGTCACCTCCCCACTCTACACAATGTAGGATGTGGGCGTTTAGTTTCTCTTCATTGCGTTGTGCCTCCGCCAAGGTCTCCCCGAGTTTAGTGCCCATGCCATGTGAGTGATGGTTTGCTCCAAAGCTTTCATAAGCAGGGTGGCCGCATTTATGCCCCTGTTTCTCCCACTCCTCGTGTAAATAGCATGGGCTGGTCCTAAAAAAGCGCCGATTTTATGCCCGAGTCGCTGTCCCAAGGCCGCCACCACTGTCTCTCCACTGTCGAGATCATTGTACAACTCTTTGTTGGGTACCCAGTTGGTGCTGCCAAATTCCACATAGTTCCTTCATTTTTGCATTCCATTTCGTGCACTCGCTTGTAGGGATGAGTTCTCCGAGGTCCATTCTGGGACACAAGGAACCTGTGTTTGTCATTTCCTTGCAGCCATGTATGTAGCCTGTCATGTAGACTCTGGGCTAGGCTTTCTGTAGGGGCATTGGCTGTGTTTAGCTCTTAGGTGCCTGTATGCAACACAATCATTATCTGCGCCAGTGTTGCCAGATGCCATCGAGCAAGCAAGCGAATATTCTCCACAAAAGAAGCGAGAACATGATGAA